GCCACGGCACCAGGCCGGGGCTGGGGAGCGCGGCGCCGCCCCCGCCGAGGGTTCGGATCCCACATACAGACCGGTTCCCGCTCACTGGCTGAACGAGGTGCGGGTGCAACACCGAGGGTTGCGATCTCGTTGCCGGTCCCGGTCCGGTACGGGCGCGACACTGAGGGTTGCAATCCGTTGCCAGACACGAAAAAAAGACAAAAAGAAAAAAAAAAAAAAGAACTGCTGCCTGGGGCCGGCCCAGTGGTGCACTGGAGAGTGCGCCGCTTGGGAGCACGGTGGCGCTCCCGCTGAGGGTTTGGATCCCATGTGGAGACCGGTTCCCGCTTACTGGCTGAGCGCGGTGCGGGCGCAACACTGAGGGTTGCGATCCCGTTGCCGGTCCCCAATATGGGCGTGACACCGAGGGTTGTGATCCCGTTACCGGTCAGTAAAAAAGACAAAAAGGAAAAAAAAAAAAGAACTGCTGCCTGATACCCGTGCCTCCCACCCCACCCAAAACATCCACTGTGGGGCGCTGCCCAGAAATATGGGATGCTCAACAGTCGGCTCCAATGACATCCTCGTCACATCAAAGCACTCCAGGACGAAGTGTTTCCCAGAGTGGCAGCGGGGCCTTCAAAACTCCAAACCCACCCACACTGACTCTTCACAAGCTCTGTCTTTCCAACCAGACTTTAGATTCCTCGAGACCAAACATTGGCTAGTTGTTTCCATCTATTTTTCCCCTGTGATAAGAAAGTAAACACTCATATCAAATTTTTTTTTTTTTTTTTTTGCAGCTGGCCAGTACAGGGATGGAACCCCGGACCCTGGTGCTATCAGTACCACACTCTAACTAGCCGAGTTGATGGGCCAGCCCTCAAATCAAGATTTAAGGGTGTAATTCTTAAAGTCCTGAGCCCAGTTGGAAGGGGCCTTGGAGTCCGCCAGAGTCAGCAGTGGTACACCGAAAAGCTCCCTACCAGTCTTGCTTCCAACAAGTAAGTGTACACAGCACTTTATAGTTTACAACGTTTCTTACCAAATTATCTGGCATAGAGGTGGCCTGGTGGAAAAAAACAGGGTACTACAGGTGGGGGCTGAAGTGTGGAGAGGCTGAGGAGTCTGCCCAAGGCTCAAGTCAGCCAGTGGTTCCAAGGACCATCACCTACACACAATGC